ATATATATATACATATATATACATATATATATATACATATATATATATATATATATATAATACATATAATACTTACAAAGTAAAAAAATGTCATTCTATTTTCACCTTGCTGTAATTTCCTGCCTTTTGAAATGTGGGAATATATACACTCACCGGCCACTTTATTAGGCACACCTGTTCAATTGCTTGTCAACAGCTAATCACATTGCAGCAACTCAATGCATTTAGGCATCTATACGTGGTGAAGACGACTTGCTGAAGTTCAAACCGAGCATCAGAATGAGGAAGAAAGGGGATTAAAGTGACTTTGAACGTGGCATGGTTGTTGGTGCCAGACGGGCTGGTCTGAGTATTTCAAAAACTGCTGATCTACTGGGATTTTCACGCATAACAATCTCTAGGGTTTACAGAGAATGGTCCGAAAAAGAGAAAATATCCAGTGAGTGGCAGTTGTGTGGATGAAAATGCCTGTTGATGTCAGGAGAATGGGCAGAGTGGTTGGAGATGCTAGAAAGGCAACAGTAACTCAAATAACCACTCGTTACAACCAAGGTATGCAGAACACATCTCTGAACGCACAACACGGCCAACCTTGAAGCAGATGGGCTACAGCAGCAGAAGACCACACCGGGTGCCACTCCTGTCAGCCAAGAACAGGAAACTGAGGCTACAATTTGCTCAGGCTCACCAAAATAGACAATAGAAGACTGGAAAAACATTGCCTGGTCTGATGAGTCTCGATTTCAGCTGCGACATTCAGATGGTAGGGTCAGAATTTGGCGTAGACAACATGAAAGCATGGACCCATCCTGCCTTTTATCAACAGTTCAGGCTGCTGGTGGTGGTGTAATGGTGTGGGGGATATTTTCTTGGCACACTTTGGGCCCCTTAGTACCAACTGAGCATGGTTTAAACGCTACAGCCTATCTGAGTATTGTTGGTGACCATGTCCACCCCTTTATGACCACAGTGGACTATCTTCTGATGGCTACTGCCAGCAGGATAATGCACCATGTCACAAAGCTCAAATCATCTCTGTGACAAGGACACTCCATTGCAGGCATTTGTGGACTGTTTGAAACAATAAGAGACTCACACACTGAGAGTTGAATGTTTATTATACAGTTCTGATATGGTCTCAGGAGTAATTATTGAAGGTCGGGCCTGTAGACAAACATATTAGTGGTTTAGTTATCTTTAACTAAAATGATTGAATATATTCAAAGTGCTGTCAAATAGCCTGCATGTTCAAAGCACTTACCTCTGCTGTGTCTCCTCTCCAGAGTGTTCATCCTAAAAGAGTCCCCAGGCTACAAGAGCACCATTTTACAGTTCCGGGAAGGTACCATGTGGTAATTACTAGAGGGGTGGTAGGAAAATTAAATCCTCTGTCAGGCCGGATATGATATCTATGGTGATGTCTTACCACAATAGAGATCATATAGATAATTGACCTTAGAATGTTAGGTATCTATTTGAATGTATTTGTTGTAGATTAGGGGATTGTGTTTTAGAGTAAGGGGCAGAGTCGCCTATCGTACAGTGATGTGGAGGTCCTCGTTAGTGGCAGACTATATAAGGCTGCCATAATTACATCTAGGCTGTCGCTGCCAGGACCACATGCTGCCCGTGGTCCCTGAAAGAGTTATGCCATGTATTTGTTTGTTTTTTGTCGGTGAAATAAACACCTGGTTGGTTTACACGTACTCTCTGTGTCCGTCCTCCTGCTTCCGAACTCCGGCCGCTGCGTGCCAGCCTAACAAGCTCAAACTGGTTTCTTGAACATGACAATGAGTTCACTGTACTCCAATGGCTTCCACAAGTCACCACATCTCAATCCAATAGAGCAGCTTTGGGATGTGGTGGAACGGGAGATTCTCATCATGGATGTGCAGCCGACAAATCTGCAGCAACTGCATGATGCTATCATGTCAATATGGACCAAAATCTCTGAGGAATGTTTCCAACACCTTGTTGAATCTATGCTACGAATAATTAAGGCAGTTCTGAAGGCAAAAGGGGGTCCAACCCGGTACTAGCAAGGTGTACCTAATAAAGTGGCCAGTGAGTGTGTGTATATTTATATATGTAGTTCTGCTGGGGGACTTCAACACTCATGTGGTTAATGATTGAGAAACCTGGAGGGAGATGATTGTAAGGAACAGACTGCCTGATCTGAACCCAAGTGGTGCTTTGTTGTTGGACTATTGTGCTGGTCATGGATTTGCCATAACAAACACCATGTTTGAGAATAGGGCGGTACATAAGTATACTTGGTACCAGAACACCCTAGGCCAAAGTTCTATGATCACATTTGTGGTCCACTTTGCATTGGTTGTCTCCCCGGGAAAGTTTATTCCAGGGTTCTGGAAAGGAGGCTTAGATCCAGGAGGAGCAATGTCGATTCCGTCCTGGCCGTGGAACAGTGGACCAGCTCTTTACCCTTGCAGATCTTTTGGAGGGGTCATGGGAGTTTGCCCATCCAGTCTACATATCAGTCTACGTCCCTCTGGGAGTCCTGTGGGGGGCGCTATGGAAATACGGAGTACCGGGGTCGCTGCTAAGAGCCATCCAGTTCTTGTTTAACCAAAGTGAGAGCTGTGTCATGGGTCATTCTTCTCCTTCTTCTTTGACCTGTATGTTTCCTGTATGTTTACTGTTTGTCCATCATGAGTTGCCCATCTTCTTCTTCCCCTTCTTTGACCTGTAGTTTTCCTCTCAGGCCATCAGGGGTCGCCCCTATGGCATTACATGAGAGACGTTTGAATTGTAATTCTTTCGTTTGGCCACTATCTCAAATTTTGTTCAATGCCTGTCGCTCATCCTTGGGGGCTTGGTTTCAGGTCTGTCCATTAGGGGTAACCCTTCTTCTTGTTTGACCTGCATTTTTCCTGTCTGTCCAGCAGGGTTCGCCCTTCTTGCAGTTGAGGAAGTCGTCGTCAGTTGAGAGTTTTGTGTTGGAACAGAAGAAAAAGACAGATCGTTCTACTGACTATAGACCAGCTGCTGACCAGTAAAACAGTTTCATATCATTATAGTCTGTCCTCCATATGACCTCAGATCAACCAATCACAGCTACTACTCTCCGCCTGTCTAACCGCCTGTCTCTTTTTCTATCTCTTAGGTTGCTGCAGAGGTGTCTCAGTATCGAGGACGTCAGTCGTCCCTCTTCAGTCCGTTCTGTCGGTCGGGTTCTTCAGGTTTGTTCTGATGGAACATTTCTGTTGGAAGTCAGCCGACCGAAGGGCCAAATATATGGATTCATCATCAGCAGGGGGAGAGGACGACCTAACTCTGGTACTGCCAATACTGTAAATCAGGGGTCACTAATAGGTGGACCGCGGTCCGGATCCGGATCCAGACGCTGTTGTATCTGGACCCTGGACCTAAAAACGATAGATAATTGAAAATTATTAGATTTTGACAGAGCGCTTCTATTTTACCCGCCGCAACTTTTCCAGCATTTACGGCTTATACAGCGGTCCAGGAAACACTGACCAATTACATACTTTGTAAATCACATCATGTGATGCTACTCAGCCAATCAAATATGTGTATTCTGATAAACTTCCCGACTCAAGTGAGATTCACACACAGGAGACACAAGGAAAGCGAACAAAGTGTAGGAGAATAATACGTGAGTCAGAGAAGTTATTTTACATGACGTTCTCCAAAAAGAGAAAAGTGGTCAGAGAGACCAGAGTCTTTAACCAAGAATAGACAGACTATTATAGGTTAATTCTTCACACAGCCAGTTTAAAACCAGTATGTCTCATATGTTCAGAGAATGTGACAATTATTAAAAGCGGTAATGTGAAGACAATACGAGACAAAGCACAACTCTTTTTAGCAAACGTACCCACTCACATCTGAAATGAAGTCACAGATAATAAACAATATGATCAGAATCCTAACACATTAATTCACTTCCCCCAACAATGATGTAAAAGAGCTGAAACAAGTGGCTTTAATTAACCACAGATAAAGTCCCTGAACACAAATTTGTATTATTAGAAGATGAAGAATATAATATAATGTTTTCTTGGTTGACATCACTTCACACCTGAATGAACTGAATTTAAAGCTGCAGAACAATTCAGTAAAATGATTTTTAGATGCACATTTCCCAAAAGCTTTCCATTATGTAATTTATTCTTAAATGTATCCCTTATTGAAACGAGAGAACATTTATTTATTATTAGATTATGTACTATTTACAATTCATCGAGTTCAATTTGAAAACTGACAATAAATATTGTTGAGATATTATTCAATTGATCTGACAGTCAGTTGTTTTACTACATACAGATGTTAATACAACTATTGGCTACTTTAATATATATGGAACTAAATCATAGAACAAGTTAGACATTATTGTGATGTTCTGGACCTTTAATGAGGAAATTCTCTCTAAATGGACCTCGTTGAATGTTAACTGAATACCCCTGATATAAATACTACTAATACTACTAGCCATCATTAGAGGGGGAGGACTACCTGACTCTGGTA